CATTCGAGCCGAAATAGCGGAAGCAGCTAACTTCTTCAATGGGTTGACCGCTGTTAACCGGTGGTTGTGCTGTACCGAGATGTGTAGTCAGAAGCTTCGTCTTGCGTGCATTAATCCTCAGATCAACAGTGGCAGCGAAGCTGGTGATTCGGTCTAGCGTTGGGTGTAGTGAATGAGAGATATTATCAAGTATGACAAAGTCATCGGCATATTTCAGGTCAGGTACTCTGAATTTAGGGCTAATTTTACATCTATACTCATGTAGAATTAATTAATGCATCACCTAGTATACCAAGAAGTTTAAGAGAACTAGGGAAAAAGGACATCTTTGCCGAAATCCACAAGCCAGTGAGAAAGAATCTGACTCTTCAACAAGGGTTCGTATACAGGCTGATGTTGTACAAGAGTAGGCTTTGAGTAACTTTATTTGGAGACCGTCAGCAAGCAAGATTTGCCATAAGGCTTCTTTGTCGATGAAATTAAAGGCAGTCTTGAAGTCAACGAATCGGGTGGTGGTGACCTGTTGATTCTGGTGTCTGTGTTCCAGTATGCTGCGTAAACTGGAGATCTAGTCAACACATCCTCTACCTGGACGAAATCCTCCTTGATTAAGACGAGTGCGAAGATTGTGCTTAATCGAAAATCTAGGGACTTTCGCTGCCATCGAAGCCCGACGGGTGAGGAAGCAGTAAGGGCGGTGGTAGATGCTGGTCAAGCCTGCTCCACTTTAAATAAATTCATGCGTAAGTTAGATGCCCGGCATCCAATCCGTGAGGCACTCGTTAAGCGTCGTCGCTCTGGACGTTGACCCCGTAAACAAAGTTAACTAAGGAATTCATAGGGGGAGTTGTTGAGCGTACGTAAGCTTTCGATAAATTCTCATCGGGCCAATATATGCTGGCAACTCAGATCGGCTCCACGTGCGTCTAGGCCTTTACTTGTTCCTGTCGGACAAGTTATATTTGTCACACGAGTCGTCGCTTACCCGAAAGAATTGTAGTGGTCGCTGCCGCTCGAGTCTCTCCTAACGCGTGAAGCCACAG